ATAAAATGAAAGTAACATGTACGTGCTTTGTTGGGGGAGACTAAAGGGAAAGAGGTGTTCGGCCTAGAAAAACATTTCTCAGTGGATTTCCTATGAAGTCAATGTGTCTTGGGTTTAACTTTGAAACAAATTAAAAAATTTAAAAACTGAAAAAAAAAATACAGCCAAGAAGCTAGTAAGATGCAATACTTGAAGTCTGGGATCATTAGATCATTCATTCTTTCAATAAACATGTGTTGTGCACACGATTTGCTCCCTGCCTGGCTACCCACCCTCCCGTCTCAGGCCACACAGCAAGCTCTGCTGCACGCTCGCGCGGCCTCGGCGCCGTGGCTCACATCCCACTCATTCTTGCCTTGCAGTTTTTCAGATACTCTTGCTCCAGATGTCCTCTTGGCCAGCTCCTTCTCTTCACTCCAGGCTCAGCTCTTCAGAGGCACCTTCCCTGGCCACCCTACATGAAGGAGTCCCTTATACATCATCCCTCAAATTTTCTTTGTAGCACTTAACATGGTCTAAAACCACCTTGTTCGTTTACTTCCTTGTTTATTATTTGTCTGCCCACTAAAACTGAAGTTCCATGAGAGCAAGGATCTCATCTGTCTTATTTATCACTGTATCCTCCACTCTGAAAACAGTCCTTGCTTATAGCAGGTATTCAATAAATTTTAGTTGAATCAATGAATGTACCTACTATAAAAATTTACAGAATATGGGAAATAAATGAGCAAGCTTAATACGGTAATATAAATTAATAAATACTTGAGAATTAGCGGGCTGGAACTCATAACAGTAATGGAAGGGTATGCTTTGCTCAAAAGAAACCAAAAGAGATGGAAAAGGAGGAAAAGCAATATTTACAAATATCCATGGAAACTGAGAAAGGGAGGTCAGAGGTAAACTGCTTGGGTAAGAAAAGGAGAGGAAGAGATGTGATTTCATCATGGAAGATGTTTTACACCTGCTAAGCCCTGTTATTCTCTATCCTAGCACTTTGCCACAACCTGTAATTAAATAATTTGCTTGCTTACATGTTTATCACCTGTCTTCCCCACTTTAATTTAGGCTCTTTAAGAGCAGGGACCATGGGTGGTATCCTCAGCCCCTGGCACAGAGCAGGCCCTCAACAATATATTGGGTGGCGCACAGAATGCAGAAGTGAATACTGTGGACCAACTGTTTCCCTAGAGGACGAGGGGACAGTGTACAGGGGAGAGAATTCTGTGCAAATAGCTAATGATTAATCCATTCAACAAACATGGAGTGAGGGCCTACTGGGTGCCAGACACTGCTCGGTGCTACACACAGAGAGAATGACGCAGTCCCTGCGTAGAACGAGCTCACAGTCTCCTGCAGGTGATGGACAAGTGAGCAAGGGCCAAAAAGCGAGCTTGGACAAGAGCTATCCGGGATGAGAAGCGCCCTGTTAGAGGAAAGCACGTGGCACTATGTGAACCCAGATAGGGGCCATGTAGCCCAGACTAGGGGATCAGGAAAGGCTTCCAGGGAGTCAGCCAGATGGAGGGCACTGGGAGGGACTTTCCTGACAAAGGAAATGGTGAGCCGAAACCTGGTAAGCAGGGAAGGTTGCAGGATGAGGGAAAGACTCAGGGAGAAGAATCTGGGAGGCGGAATCTGGGTAGGACCAGCCTGGGTGTAGAGCAATGATTCAGTTAAGCGGATGGGGAAGAGGGGGGCGGGGATGAATTTTCAGGGGTGATGCACGTGTTCATCACCTTGACTTTGGGGAAGGTTTCACAGGTGTATACTTATATAAACTCACTTTCAATGTGTGAAGTTTACTGTTCCTCAATTATACCTCAATAAAGGTGTAAAAACTAAAACACTAAAATAATAATAATGAAACAGTATTGGTTAGGTTGGCAACAGGTTGTAGATGGCTTTGATTGCCTAGCTAAGGGGTGCGTAGTTAGAAAGGTGTCAGGCTTTTTCAAAGCACCTCCAACATCTCCTTTGGGCCAGGGAGGAAAGTGCTAACCTCAGACACCCATCCTTGAGGGCTGGATAAGAACTTCCTCAGGCTCCCTCTTGCCTCACAGAAGGTCTGTATTTCTGGGCAATTCCAGAAGTGCTCTGAAGACAACCAGTCTTCCCACCTTTGATTAAAGATGATATTTTGGTGTTCTGCAGGGGAGTGCCTTTGAGAGGAAGAGGTGGAAATTGAGAGGCGCCCGATGCTGGGAGGGGCGTGAAGGGCTGCAATTGCTAAGTACAGTGAGAACAGTCCTGTCCCTGGAAGCACCCCTAAGAGTGATGTGCTCAGGGCCTCCCAGCCAAGGCCAAGGCCGAGATCCCAGTGGTTGTAAGTCCTGTAGACTACGCATCCATGTCTATTTGGCTTCCCTGTCACCTCCCAGCCCCACAGCCTCTTCTGAGCAACCAGCAAAGCACCAGAGCCTTCAGCTCTTTGAATGGAAGTAATAACGTCTAATTCAGAGAGAGAGAGAGAGAGATTGTGAGGATTAATTAAAATAAAGCTAATAGGTTGCCCATAGCACAACCTAGTTCGTCACAGATGCTCAATAAATGTTCTCCCCTCCCCCACTCATAGAGAGGACATGAACATGTGACTTACAACTGAGAAATGCTCCTGTCTGCTCCTTCTGCCATTTCTACGCATGCAACAGGCATTGATTGAGCTGCTCTGGGCCAAGCCCTCTCTGGGGGCTGAGGTTACAAGAGTGAAAAAGACACAGTCTCCAATCTCCAACAGTCCACGGTGTGATTAATACCACAGTGGATAGAAGCATGGGGAAATTACAGGAAAGAGGAAGGCAGGTTGCCTCGAGGAGGTGATAGCTACCTTGCCTGGGGAAACTCAATCACACCCCTCTATCTAAATTCAGATTTTTATAGATACAAATCTATAGAAATCAACTTTTATCACTTTTATCACCATCCATACCATTTTAGATGCTTACAGAATTTCCATTTACTCCCTAACACCTGGCATTTCCTAGGTATGTAAGATGTATTTAACAGTTACAGAGTGCTCTCCTCTTTTAAAAAAGTATTCCAGGACCTATCAATTGAGGTGGTGGTTTACAAGCTGGGGTCCCAGACCCCGGGTCCTCAACAGTGATAGGGGTCTTTGGGCTGTTTTCATTATTGCCAAAGACTCAATATCAATCACGTTTAACCTTTCCTCAGGCTTCCCAGGGTCCTTTGGCAGTTACTTCTTCACTTTCATAGAATCCTAACACACAGCGAGGCAATGCTGATAGGCTCAGGCTGGGCAGAGGCTTGGATTGGCTGTTATACAGGATTTGGATTCAATTATTTTTGTAAAGGAAAATGAAGCAAGCATTGGTTAATAAATGCAGTTTTATTGCATACACAAATCCTCCACTACTCTGGGGGAAAATAACTAAAAGGGTTCTTAGTGGTAAAAAAGCTGGAAACCCCTTAGCTCAGGAAGCCTGAGTTCAAAGGGCAAAGAACTCTCTTTTACCCGTAAACTGCCCTTCCGTGACTTCCTGACCATTTCAGGAAAATATCTACCTCAGTTAGTTGTTGGGCCAGGAGGAGGTCAGACCTGGGGGCACCTCAGAACAAGAGAGGGTGGAAGTTCCAAAACCAAGGAGCCTTCAAAAAGAGGAAGCTGAAAAAAATCTCCCTGCCTGCCTTTGCTTTTCTCTTTGCACTTGGAACAGGAATTTTGAATGAACATGCACTACTCACTTGCTGACAGGCACCTTACATGCATTATTTTAATCAATGCCCACTTCACGGATCAGGTCACACAGTGGGCGAATAACTGAACCAGGACCACGAATCCAGACAAATCTGGTGCTTGAGGCCCTTTGACACTATGCTGTATTGCCTTTTGGTAGGACAAGGGCATATTAGAATTAGGGCAAATAGGTTTACCTTCTTTAGACGTCATTGCTTCTCGGTGACAATATTATGGATACCTTTTTTCCTTCACTTTTCTATAAGTTCTAAATTTTTCCTAAGAACTTTTTCTTAATGACTTTTCTATGGATGGATTCATCAGTAGTTAATGTCTGGAGGCTGTTCTGGTGGAGCTTTCCACCAAGGATATATGAGCTGCTTCTAGATTTGGGGAGTCATCAGCAGAGAGACGGATTCTGAAAAATCGGGGAGGGAATTAGGTTCCCCTAGGGTGAATGTGTGGAGTAGAAATTTGGGTTGAGGAAAGAATCCTGGAAGACAGTTGGTGGAAGAGGAGCTGGTGACAGTGAGGAGAAACAGGAGGAAAACCAGAGAAAACCTCCATGTCTATTACCTTCTGTGTAGTATAGCACAGTAATACTGTGCTGTGGAATACTGGCCGGTATTTTGTCAACAATCTCTACCTTTTTGTCTCAAGGAACATCTTGAAGGTATAAGAATTCTAGTAAATGTTGGTGTTAGAATTCTGGGATTTAGTGTTTTTCTAGGCAGAATTAATGCTCCCTGATGGAGTCCCCAGAGTAAATCTCCATGTCCTCTGTTTTACAAGTGCGTGAATTACTGTACCCTGGTCTTTATCATTGGTGTGTCTCTTCTATGGAGACACGGGGGTATTACTGACTCAATTCTTTTTTTCCCAGCTCTTTGCCACGTAATACTTGATCCTGAGCAAGATACGTAACCTCTCTAAGCCCCAGTTTTTAATGAGAATCATCGTGCCGTTCAGAGGTTGTTAGGAAAGGATACAGTAAAATGGAAGAAAAAAAAAAAGTGCTTAACACAGTGCTAGGAGTATGGTCAATAGTGAAAAACTGGTACCTACCAGTTTTGAACAGCTACCCTGAGGCTAGTGCTTTTTGATGCGTGCACGTAAGGATCGCTCTGTCCATCTCCAGAAACAGAGAAGTCAAGTTCTGTCCTCGCGTCGTGAACCAGATAAAATCTCAGCTCAACGACTCCCAACTTGCCGTGGGCCAAGTCCCGGTCTGGCTCCCGTCCAAAGACTACAAGTCCCAGCATTCCGCTCGCTGGGCCTCGACGGCCCCGCCCCTTCCGCGTTGGCCCGCACGTGGGCGCCGCTCTAGGCACCGCCTCCTCTCGATGCTCCTGTCCTGGGCGCGCAATGGAAACCGGCTGCTGGTTGCTTGGCGGCGAGTTCGAGGACTCGGTGTTCGAGGAGAGGCGGGAGAGGCGGACTGGACCGCTTACGTCCTACCGCGCCAAGCTCTGCGAGCCGCAGGTGAGAAAGCGGGGCCTCTCGGCCTCATCCCAGCCCCCGGGCCTCGCGCTCCCGGGTCCCGGCCCGACAGCGCTTCAGACGCCCCAAGGCCGCGTGGCCTACCCCCGAACCCAAACCCTCCCGGCACGAGTCCTGCGTCCACGCGGACTCCCTGGTGTCCCTTCCCCTACTCGAGCCGCAGCCGGCTGGGCCCGGCCCCCTCTGCCCCCGAGGGAACCCCCGCGCCGTCGGCCATCAACTCGCACCTGGCGTTCGGCCTGCCTCCCGGAGGCTCGCTGGCCTCACGCCCCTGCTCTAAAATCTGTAGTAGCTCCCGTGGAGCTTCACTGCTTCTGCTGCCGGGCAGTCAGGGCCCCCAGAAATCCAGCCCCCGCCCACTTTTCAGACCTCAGTGTTGTCTGCTCCCTGAACCGTGACGTCCCACCCACGGGCCTGCCCTTGTTCACTGAGTTCCCCCTGCCCATGTTAACCCCGTTCAGATGGTCACAATCGTTCAATTATAGACATTTCTCAAGGCGCACCTTAAATGCCACCTTCTCCAAGAAGTCTTTTCTGATTCCCCCTTCCAACCACATATTTTTGTTTTGACTCCTTTTCCCTCTTTTACCTGTTAAAGCAATTGTCAGTATCTCATAAAACTCTTAGACCCAGAATGCTTAATGATCACAGGAGCGTGCGTGCTTAACTTTATGTCCTCCACAGTGCCTGGCAGTTTTTGTTCATAGTGGGAACTCCGTGAATATTTTGAATAAGTAGAGTATTAACCTGGTATTCTTTCACGTGTGTAAATCTCATCTCACCAATAATAATTCCTTTCTATCAGGTAGTGTTCCAGGCACTGGGCAGGGTTCCTTGACACGTATTGTCTCATTTTTCCTTAAAACCCTTGTACTTACAGATGTCAGGCACTCAGAAATTACTGAATTGTATGTTTGTTTTATTTCACTTACATTTTCTCCTTGCCACATGCAGTCTTTCAGAGTGACCTTTAGTACTTGATCGTGTAGACTAAAAGCGGGGAATGGGCTTTCAAAGTCATGGGGTACCGCATTAAAAAGCCACGGGTGTGAGATAGGACCCTTGCGTTCCAGCGTTGGCTTTATCGGTTGCCTTTCAAAGTGTCAGTTCCTTATTTGTCATTTGAGAAAAAATAATGTTTGCTGGCTCACAGGTTTATTGTGAGAGTGGAATGAGATAATACTTCGCCAGGTGTGGTATGCTGTATACTTATAAAGTAAAATCCCAAAATCACTTGTCATTAGAATTTATTTGGTAAATGGTAACTGCTCATAAATTCAGGCCCCATTCAAGTCCTCTTGGTTTCCCCAAGTGTAAAACCAGGAGTTTGGGTTGGAAGATCTGTGTTCCCTGCCTATTTGGTGTGGGACCAGGTGTTTTGCCTTACCAGCACTTCCCTTCTTAGTCTCACCCTTGTTCACAGCTTTTCCCTCGTACTCTTATCAGAATGGGGTATTTAAAGCCATCCCCATATGCGCTCTTGCGTTTGAAAGCCAATTTTGCTTGATCATTTCCCAGTAGGATGATGAACATTGGATGGAGGTTTGCAGTTATTCAGTTATTGTTCAAGAAGTCGGGATTGGCTGATAATCTAATAGAGTATGTGACTGGAGAGCAATAAAGTGCAAAGGAAAATTATGGGTTCAGTATATAGGCTGTTGTTGGGTTACACAGTACTTCAGGGAGAACAGAAAAACAGTGGTTGCTAGCTTTCTCCACAATGATGAATCAGGCTAAGGAGGGAAACGATTATTAATTAATGATATTACTAATTAACAGGGGGGCAGTGATACCCAAGCAACTCTTTTAGAAATAGAACCAAGAAATTTTGATGTGATGGTGGAACCATCACAAATGCAGTTACGTTTGAATTAATAATAGTGTGTAACTGACTTCATTCAGCCTCAGTGTGTTTTACTCTGAATAAAAGGGAGGATGGGGGACTTTCCTGAGGTCACAGTGGTTGAGAATCTTCCTGCCAATGCAGGGGACACAGGTTCAATCCCTCATCTGGGAAGATCCCACATGCTGCAGAGCAACTAAGCCCGTGTGCCACAGCTACTGAACCTGCGCTCCAGAGCCCGTGAGCCACAACTACTGAAGCCTGCGCGCCTAGAGCCTGTGCTCTGCAACGAAGAGTAGCCCCTGCTCGCTGCAACTAGAGAAAGCCCATGCACAGCAACAAAGACCCAATGCAGCCAGAAATAAAAAAATTTTTTTAAAAGGTGGGGGGCGGGGAGGATGAGATACTTCTTTGGAGCTGGAAAACTGGCACACAGTGCTTCTCGTTATTCGTGTTTTCTCATCTTAATGTTCTTTATGCAATAATCAAAAAAGATCTTTCTATCCATAGGGTTTAAATCAGTAGAAAAGTGAATAAAATATTCCAGATGGGCATTTCCTGAGACTTTTCTCCTATAGCACTTTGGCATTTGATTGCACGGAAGCCACCTTTCAGCCTTCATCTCTGTTTCCTCTTTGCGTCGATTCTACTTTTGGCTTTTACACTTTCATAATAGCACTATAATGACAGTTCTTCTTTTCTATGTCCTCTCCATAAAGAGTTGTCAATCCCTAGTCCATCCACCCTAAAAATTTCTCTGCAGGAAAACATCTCAGTCTAAAGAACCATCGTGAACTGTGCTAGTTAAATGTAGGTTCCCAAGCATCACAACCCCAAATTGGAAATGCTATAGATAAAAGCATATACTTTTGTGTTTTAGTTAAGAGGTATTGTATTATTGGTATATTTATTACTTGTGATAATTTTCATAAAAACTGGGCCACCATTAAAATTGTCATTCTTCTTTGTCAAATGTTTTCCTGAATTCTGAAGAATTATGTCTTTTTTGAGGTTTAATCAATTATATATGGGAAATTGCTTCTGAGTAGGGAGTGGAAAAGTGTAGTTTCATTCTCTGTAATATGCTGTTTTCACAATTTCTAGTGGTTTTATGAAGAAACGGGGAGCAGTGATGATGTTGAAGCTCTGACTATCCAGAAATTCAAAGGGGACCTGGCCTACAGACGGCAGGAGTATCAGGTAGAATTTAACATATAGAAGATTGCACTGCTTGAAATGGGCTTTTGTTCTGTCCATTACAGTATATTTAAATAACAGTATACTAAGTTATGAGTGTGTTGTTTGTGAAGATGAATTTAATCTTTTGTGATATGTGTTTGTAATCTTAGAATCCCAAGTTTCTAGCTCTGTATAATTTGTTTTGTTTCCTGTAACTCCAGTATAGAGAGCTTGTTGGGATCCTTGTAGGTCTGTTTCCCCAGGTTCTGTATCTCCTAATTATGTGGGAACCTCTAGCACAGATACCTCATGGGGCCACAGGAACAAAGCACCCGAAAATGTGTAAGAAAAGGAAAGAACTAACAACTAGATTAGATGTCAGCTTGCTTTATTTAGAGACTTCATGTCATCTTCACAAGAGTCCTGTTGTTATTTTGCTGAGGTGAAAAGGTTATACAGCAAGTTAGTGGCAAACCCAGGATTCAAATTCTGGTCTTTTGGGCTCCAGGATGCTTTATTTATAGTCTCCAGCCATTTTTTCTCTACCTTTCAGAAAAAGAGTACTGACTAAATGCTCAAGTCTTCCTTTAGTTCATTGTGGGGTCAGTTATAACATTACCTTCTGCCTAGGAAACACGTCACCCCCATGACTGAATTCTTTTTTCTACTGTGTTTTCTGCCTTTCTTTTCATCCCTTCCCTTCATTTTCCTTTATTTAACAAATATTTGCCAGAAAGCACTGCAAGAGTATTCCAGTATCTCAGAAAAACTGCCATCTACGAATTTTGCCATGAAAAGGGATGTCCAGGAAGGCCAGGCTCGGTGTCTCGTTCACCTGGGAAGGCACGAGGAAGCCCTGGAGATTGCTACAAACTTGGTGAGTGGTTTCTGTGCGTATTTCCATTTGCTTCCCTAGGATGGCTGAATGGTTTATTTTGTAAAAAACAAAGCAAAAGACAACTTGTTGCAGCTAAATCTGTGTGTTTGGTTAAGCAGAAGAAAATTGTCAGTGGTGGAAGAACTTTATTATGATGAACAGTTTGGAGGTCTAGACATAATCATTTGCTTGTAATATTTTTTCCTGTGTTATGCTCAAAATTTTTCATTGCCTGAAAATCTCACTTGCAAAGGTTTTTTTTTTTTTTTTTTTTTTTTTGGCTGTGTCGGGTCTTAGTTGCAGCATGCAGGATCTTTCATTGAGGTGTGCGGACTTCTCTTTAGTTGTGGTGTGCAGGTTTTTTCTCTTTCTAGTTGTATCACACAGGCTTCAGAGCATATGGGCTCTAGTTGAGGAGCGCGGGCTCAGTAGTTGCGGTGTGTGGGCTTAGTTGCCCTGCGGCATGTGGGATCCTGGTTCCCCAACCAGGGATCGAACTCACATTCCCTGCACTAGAAGGCAGACTTTTTAGCACTGGACCACCGTGGAAGTCTCACTTGCAAAGGTTTTTACTCTTGTTAGGAGTAAATACTCAGAGTGGAAGGATTATGTGATGTGTTTTCTTCTTTAGGTGTTTTGCTGTTGTTTAGATTTTTATTTTCCAAAATTTCTACAATGAACATATATTACTTTTATAAACAGGAAAAAAGTTTACCAAAAAATGACTAAATATCATACTAGGCCAAGCTTAATCCTTTTTATTCTTAAATGGAGTCTGCAGAATTTTTTTTAAGGAATTTAATAAAAGCAGGTTTTTTTGCAATTCTATATCCTGCTTGTTTTTGTTTTCAGATTAAAGCACCTACAGTTTTTAGTGTAAATTTTATATGGGGACAAGTCTAAGTCGACCAGTCCTAGTTTATAGATGACCAGTTTTCTTCCTCAGAGGAACTTAATGAGGCCCTGAGGCTCTGATCTTGAATCCTGTGGATCTCGTTGACCAGAGGTCAGCCTGAAGTACGCAGCCAATTGAGTTGTCCTCCTCCGTTTCATTAACTAAGAGAAATCCCACAATTTGCTTGCCGGGGTTCATTGCATAGGACCTCAGCCTCTTGCAGTGAGAGGAACCCTTGGTGGTAATTGTCTTCGGAACATGGAAAACAGCTGTGTTTTGTTCACTCTTTTTCTCCCCTCTACTAATTGTGGGTTAATTCTTAAGCTGGAAGATAAGATTACCCTGTTAAGGAAGCACATGGCATGAATACAGTGAACTTGGTGGGGTTTAATAGTGTTCAGTCTCCCTGGTCTGAAAATTAACAGCAACTTCAGTTCTTTCAGTTGCTTTTTCTAGACATCAGTCACCCGTCCTTCGTCACTGTTCTGCTCTCCCATCGCCTCTGTCTTCCTCACATCACCTGCATATCACTGTTGTGCTTTGTCTCCCCCCCCAGACCACCGAAAGCAGTGACAGGTAGGTTAGTGTCGGGGGCTGGACTGGCTCTCTGGTTCCTTCTAGCTTAGTGAGTCTCTGCTGTTGTGGCTCAGAGAAGGATTTGTTGCCAGCAGATGCCATCCAGAGCTTGGGATGGTTACCAGGCAGGAGGAAGGACCAGTCAGAAGACCTTCAGCTCCTCTGTCAGGACTTTGAGAACTGGTCCTTGGGCTGTGGGCACCCTGGTGGGCAGGAGTGTTGGGGAAGAAACGGCAGCATAGGCTAATAGGTCTCACCCCTTTCTTTGGGTCTCTTCACATGATCTCAGTGCAGCCTGCCCATTTGCATGGTTTTCTCATTTCCTGATGCCCTGTGTTTTGTTTTCTTTTTCCCTACTTGTAGGTCCTCTTCTTGTTACTCGCTCTGGCCCGTTTCTGGGTTTTGTCCCAGTGGTTATTGCCCCCTCGTGCTCTGGAGTGGGCAGGTCATGACCCAGCATTGAACAAAACACAGTGAGTCTTGGAGTGCCCAGCAGGATATGAACACTTTATGCTCACAACTTCTACTGAAGTTTATTCACCTCTCTTCTTAATCATTTTTGGATAGAATTTGTAATGGAACTTATTTCTTTCTTTTTCTTTTCTTTTATTTTGGCTGCCAATGCAGCCAAAATTTTGTTCTTCGTTGCTGCGTGCAGGCTTTCTCTAGCTGCGGCGAGCAGGGGCTACTCTTTGTTGCAGTGCACGGGCTTCTTATTGCAGTGGCTTCTCTTGTTGCAGAGCACGGGCTGTAGGCTCGCGGGCTTCAGTAGTTGTGGCGCACGGGCTTAGTTGCTCCACATGTGGGATCCTCCCTGCCAGGGCTCGAACCCATGTCCCCTGCCTTGGCAGGTGGGTTCTTAACCACTGCGCCACCAGGGAAGCTCTGGAACTTATTTCTTAAACAAATAGTTTAAACATCTTATAGTGGCTGATAGGCTCATGTGATAAACTGTGGTAAGGAAACTGCTTTTTGACAGTTACTGACTTTTTTTTCCATTTATCACTTCACAAACATTTATTTCAGTCTTACCATGTGTGCAGTTCTGGGTTCGGTGCTAAGGAGACAGAAAACCACGTCCATAACCTGCCCATACATTGCTGACCTAGTGTCTAGTGGGAGAATCCTAAGCCAGCTAACACGCGTCAGCTCTTCTGAAGTACCTTTTTTCTGTGACTTCTAGTGGGACCGATTGTAGCTCTGCTACTTACTAGCTGTGTGACGTCAGGCAGCTTATCTGACTTCTCTCTTAGGACTCAGTTGCCTCAACTATAAAATGGGGATAGTGATAGAGTCTATTTTAAAGGATTGTCATGAGGATTAAATGAGTAAAGCACTTAGAGTAGTGTCTGGCATATGGTAAGCACTCTGTAAATGTTAACTCTCGTCATCACCATTGCATTATAGAAGGAGTTCAGTACTGTGCACACAAACTCGTTTAAATGGAATTTAGTTTCCAGAGAGTTCTTTACTAGCTAGGCCATCAAAACCATGGTCTGCGTGCTCCACCCTACCCCACCACATACTTGCTTCCGCAATCTGAAAATGTTTGTAAACAGTATAGAGCACTATAGACTGTAGAGGAAAGGTAGCGTTTGCTGTAGGTAGTTTATACGTGTTGCTTTCACTATTATAAATAAAAAACATAAAGATGTATTACTCAACAGTTATTAGACATCTGCTATGTCTGAGGTGCTGTGCTCTCTACTAGTAATTCAGCATTGAACAAAAACTTCTGGAACTTAGTGGTCTCTGGGGAAGGACAGAATACTGAACAATAGTAATAATAAAACCAGATCAAATCTGTCATCGGGAATGTATAGTATGACTGAATAGGTTACATGAGGCTTTATTTCCTGTCTTTTCACTCAATATATGAATATTTAGAATCCTCCTCAAGCTTTCACTCACTGGTCAGCCAGTTTCTTCCAGCTGCCTGCTGAGTAGTTTTTTTTTTTTTTTTGCGGTACGCGGACCTCTCACTGTTGTGGCCTCTCCAGTTGCGGAGCGCAGGCTCAGCAGCCATGGCTCACGGGCCTAGCCACTGCGCGGCATGTGGGATCTTCCCGGACCGGGGCATGAACCCGTGTCCCCTGCATCGGCAGGCGGACTCTCAACCACTGTGCCACCAGGGAAGCCCCGTGCTGGGTAGTTTTACTCATATTTCTTGCTCAGTTCTATGCAGGGGCTTGATCTGAATACTAGTAGGCCAGGTTTTCCTTAGACTTAAAATGAACTGAATCTCTACAGACTTTAACTTAGAAAAAGGAGGCTTGTTTCCCTAACCCACAGGGCTTTTGCCATTTGGCAAGTTAGGCAAGAGGTGATGGCTCTGATTAAGGAGACTTGAAAAGGATTTTCTGATCAGAAGGAAACCAAGCAATCCCCTCCAGCCAGAAATAATTGGCCCTGCTAATAGTTACCAGAGAGGGCATTTGGATTCAGTTATGCATCACGAAACACTGAGAGCTGCAGGGCCATCCTGTTTAGGATATCAAGGCCAAGTAAAATTTGGAAATAGAGTCCATTTGAATCCTCGAGGAAATTACGATTTGGATTTTTAGAAAGCCTGGAATATTAAAATGGAACCATTAGCACAGGGTATAAAAAAGTTGGCTTGCGTCTTTCAGATATCTGGCTGAAGACAATAAAGATTATAATACAAATGGAAAATAAACTGACACAGAGGTTTTTGGTGCTGAACTTTGCCAGGCCACTATCACCTGGATTATGTGACTGTTGTGACATTAGGGTGTTTGGGAATGACTGGTGATTATTTTGTTAGGTTAGTTTATATTTCTCTAGGTTTATGGTTTTGAACTGAGATCTATTGAAAAATATTTAGTTCACCCTACTTGTGTGGCTACTTGTCATTTATAACATGTACAACTTGGATTTTTAGGCATCTTCATTTTTATATGGGAAACATTCCATAGTTTAAACTTCCTAATCTTCTTTTTTTCTCCTTAGGAAAATAAGGCAACTAACACAGACCATTTAACTACTGTGCTCTACCTCCAGTTTGCTATTTGTTCAAGTTTGCAGAACTTGGAGAAAACAATTTTCTGCCTACAGAAACTGATTTCTTTGCATCCCTTTAATCCTTGGAACTGGGGCAGATTGGGAGAGGCTTACCTGAATCTGGAGCCAGTGCTTGCAGCGTTGCTTGCGTCATCTCAGAAACAGAACAGTTTCACCTCGAGTGACAAGGCTATCAAATCCTCTTGTCCCCACTCAGGAAAAGACTGTCTTTTGTGTTTCCCTGAAATGTTGCCTGAGAGCTCTGCGTTATCTGTGGAAACGAGCAGTGGTAATAACCAGAAGAATGAGAAAGCTTTAAAAAATATTCAGAACTGTATGGCAGAAGAGAGAGCAGCAGTGTTGCTAGAAACTCAGATGAAAGCCTGTGCCTCTTTTATACGAACCAGGTAAGCTAAGAGTGAATTAAACACACATGGTGCTAAGCTCAGAGTAAAGGTTTTATTTTTCTAATTTTAAGCTTCTAAAAATTCTAGGCCACACACTTAGTATATGTTTCTAAGGTTTTTCCCATGGTCTAGATAGAATCCTTTGAATGCATCCTTTTAGCATGTAAGATTTAAAAACAAAACTATGTTTGCTCAAAAATACAACTTGTATCATCACTCAAGATAAAAGGTTAAAATTGGCAGCCATTAAAATTAGGAAAGAAAATTAAATGTGTAAAACATTGACAAAGGGGGAAGCAATACATATATATATATATTTTTAACATCTTTATTGGAGTATAATTGCTTTACAGTGGTGTGTTAGTTTCTGCTTTATAACGAAGTGAATCAGCTATACATATACATATGTCCCCATATCTCTTCCCTCTTGCATCTCCCTCCCTCCCACCCTCCCTATCCCACCCCTCTGGGTGGTCACAAAGCACCGAGCTGATCTCCCTGTGCTATGCGGCTGCTTCCCACTAGCTATCTATTTTACATTTGGTAGTGTATATTGTCCGCACCACTCTCTCACTTTGTCCCAGCTTACGCTTCCCCCTCCCCATGTCCTCAAGTCCATTCTCTGGTAGGTCTGTGTCTTTATTCCCATCTTGCCCCTAGGTTCTTCTTGACCTTTTTTTTTTTTTTAGATTCCATATATACGTGTTAGCATATGGTATTTGTTTTTCTCTTTCTGACTTACTTCACTCTGTATGATAGACTCTAGGTCCATCCACCTCACTACAAATAACTCAATTTTGTTTCTTTTTATGGCTGAGTAATATTCCATTGTATATATGTGCCACATCTTCTTTATCCATTCATCTGTTGATGGACACTTAGGTTGCTTCCATGTCCTGGCTATTGTAAATAGAGCTGCAGTGAACATTTTGGTACTTGACTCTTTTTGAATTATGGTTTTCTCAGGGTATATGCCCAGTAGTGGGATTGCTGGGTCATATGGTAGTTCTATTTGTAGTTTTTTAAGGAACCTCCATACTGTTCTCCATAGTGGCTGTATCAATTTACATTCCCACCAACAGTGCAAGAGTGTTCCCTTTTCTCCACACCCTCTCCAGCATTTATTATTTTTAGACTTTTTGATGATGGCCATTCTGACCAGTGTGAGATGATATCATTGTAGTTTTGATTTGTATTTCTCTAATGATTAATGATGTTGAGCATTCTTTCATGTGTTTGTTGGCAATCTGTATATCTTCTTTGGAGAAATGTCTGTTTAGGTCTTCTGCCCATTTTTGGATTGGGTTATATGTTTTTTTGATATTGAGCTGCTGTAAATTTTGGAGATTAATCCTTTGTCAGTTGCTTCATTTGCAAATATTTTCTCCCATTCTGAGGGTTGTCTTTTCGTCTTGTTTATGGTTTCCTTTGCTGTGCAAAAGCTTTAAAGTTTCATTAGGTCCCATTTGTTTATTTTTGTTTTTATTTCCATTTCTCTAGGAGGTGAGTCAAAAAGGATCTTGCTGTGATTTATGTCATAGAGTGTTCTGCCTATGTTTTCCTCTAAGAGTTTGATAGTGTCTGGCCTTACATTTAGGTCTATAACCCATTTTGAGTTTATTTTTGTGTATGGTGTTAGGGAGTGTTCTAATTTCATTCTTTTACATGTAGCTGTCCAGTTTTCCCAGCACCGCTTATTGAAGAGGCTGTCTTTTCTCCACTGTATATTGTTGCCTCCTTTATCAAAGATAAGGTGACCATATGTGCGTGGGTTTATCTCTGGGCTTTCTGTCCTGTTCCATTGATCAATCTTTCTGTTTTTGTGCCAGTACCATACTGTCTTGATTACTGTAGCTTTGTAGTATAGTCTGAAGTCAGGGAGCCTGATTCCTCCAGCTCCGTTTTTCTTCCTCAAGATTGCTGTGGCGGGCTTCCCTGGTGGCGCAGTGGTTGAGAGTCCGCCTGCCGATGCAGGGGACACGGGTTCGTGCTCCGGTCCGGGAAGATCCCACATGCCACGGAGCGGCTGGGCCTGTGAGCCATGGTCGCTGAGCCTGCGTCTCCGGAGCCTGTGCTCTGCAACAGGAGAGGCCACAACAGTGAGAGGCCTGTGTACCACAAAAACTATATAGGCGGCAAAAAAAAAGATTGCTGTGGCTATTCGGGGTCTTTTGTGTTTCCATACAAATTGTGAATTTTTTTGTTCTAGTTCTGTGAAGAATGCCAGTGGTAGTTTGATAGGGATTGCATTGAATCTGTAGATTGCTTTGGGTAGTATAGTCATTTTCACAATGTTGATTCTTCCAATCCAAGAACATGGTATATCTCTCCATTTGTATCATCTTTAATTTCTTTCATCAGTGTCTTATAATTTTCTTCATATAGGTCTTTTGTCTCCTTAGGTAGGTTTATTCCTAGATATTTTATTCTTTTTGTTGCAGTGGTAAATGAGAGTGTTTTCTTAATTTCACTTTCAGATTTTTCATCATTAGTGTATAGGAATGCAAGAGATTTCTGTGCATTAATTTTGTATCCTGCTACTTTACCAAATTCATTGATTAGCTCTAGTAGTTTTCTGGTAGCATCTTTAGGATTCTCTATGTATAGCATCATGTCATCTTCAAACAGTGACAGCTTTACTTCTTCTTTTCCAATTTGGATTCCTTTTATTTCTTTTTCTTCTCTGAGTGCTGTGGCTAAAACTTCCAAAACTATGTTGAATAATAGTGGTGAGAGTGGGCAACCTTGTCTTGTTCCTGGTCTTAGTGGAAATGGTTTCAGTTTTTCACCATTGAAGACGATGTTGGCTATGGGTTTGTCATATATGGCCTTTATTATGTTGAGGAAAGTTCCCTCTGTGCCTACTTTCTGGAGGGTTTTTATCGTAAATGGGTGTTGACTTTTGTCGAAAGCTTTCGCTGCATCTGTTGAGATGATCATATGGTTTTTCTCCTTCAGTTTGTTAATATGGTGTATGACATTGATTGATTTGCGTATATTGAAGAATCCTTGCATTCCTGGGATAAACCCCACTTCATCATGGTGTAAGAGCCTTTTAATGTGCTGTTGGATTCTGTTTGCTAGTATTTTGTTGAAGATTTTTGTATCTATGTTCATCAGTGATACTGGCCTGTAATTTTCTTTCTTTGTGACATCCTTGTCTGGTTTTGGTATCAGGGTGATGGTGGCCTCGTAGAATGAGTTTGGAAGAGTTTGAGAAGGATAGGTGTTAGCTCTTCTCTACATATTTGACAGAATTCCCCTGTGAAGCCATCTGGTCCTGGGCTTTTGTTTGTTGGAAGATTTTTAATCACAGTTTCAATTTCATTGCTTGTGATTGGTCTGTTCATATTTTCTATTTCTTCCTGGTTCAGTCTCAAAATGTTGTGCATTTCTAAGAATTTGTCCATTTCTTCCAGGTTTTCCATTTTATTGGCATATAGTTGCTTGTAGTGATCTCTCATGATCCTTTGTATTTCTGCAGTGTCAGTTGTTACTTCTCCTTTTTCATTTCTAATTCTATTGATTTGAGTCTTGTCCCTTTTTTTTCTTGATGAGTCTGCCTAATGGTTTATCAACTTTGTTTATCTTCTCAAAGAACCAGCTTTTAGTTTTATTGATCTTTGTTATCGTTTCCTTCATTTCTTTTTCATTTATTTCTGATCTGATCTTTATGATTTCTTTCCTTCTGCTAACTTTGTGGTTTTTCTGTTCTTCTTTCTCTAATTGCTTTAGGTGTAAGGTTAGGTTGTTTATTTGAGATGTTTCTTGTTTCTTGAGGTAGGATTGTATTGCTATAAACTTGCCTCTTAGAACTGCTTTTGCTGCATCCTGTAGGTTTTGGGTTGTCGTGTTTTCATTGTCATTTGTTTCTAGGTAATTTTTGACTTCCTCTTTGATTTCATCAGTGATCTCTTGGTTATTTAGTAGTGTATTGTTTAGCCTCCATGTGTTTGTATTTTTTACAGATTTTTTCCTGTAATTGATATTTAGTCTTATAGCATTGTGGTTGGAAAAGATACTTGAGACAATTTCGATTTTCTTAAATTTACCAAGGCTTGATTTGTGACCCAGGATATGATCTATCCTGGAGAATGTTCCATGAGCACTTGAGAAAAATGTGTATTCTGTTTTTTTGGATGGAATGTCCTATAAATATCAATTAAGTCCATCTTGTTTAATGTATCATTTAAAGCTTGTGTTTCCTTATTTATTTTCATTTTGGATGATCTGTCCATTGGTGAAAGTGGGGTGTTAAATTCCCCTACTATGAATGTGTTACTGTCGATATCCCCTTTTATGGCTGTTAGTATTTGCCTTATGTATTGAGGTGCTCCTGTGTTGGGTGCATAAATATTTACAATTGTTATATCTTCTTCTTGGATCGATCCCTTGATCGTTATGTAGTGTCCTTCTTTGTCTCTTCTAATAGTCTTTATTTTAAAGTCTATTTTGTCTGATACGAGAATTGCTACTCCAGCTTTCTTTTGGTTCCCATTTGCATGAAATATCTTTTTCCATCCCCTTACTTTCAGTCTGTATGTGTCTCTAGGTCTGAAGTGGGTCTCTTGTAGACAGCAAATATATGGGTCTTGTTTTTGTATCCATTCAGCCCATCTGTGTCTTTTGGTGGGAGCATTTAGTCCATTTACATTTAAGGTAATTATTGATATGTATGATCCTGTCACCATTTTCTTAATTGTTTTGGGTTTGTTATTGTAGGTCTTTTCCTTGTCTTGTGTTTCCTGCCTAGAGAAGTTCCTTTAGCGTTTGTTGTAAAGCTGGTTTGGTGGTGCTGAATTCTCTTAGCTTTTGCTTGTCTGTAAAGGTTTTAATTTCTCCATCAAATCTGAATGAGATCCTTGCTGGGTAGAGTAATCTTGGTTGTAGGTTTTTCTCCTTCATCACTTTAAATATGTCCTGCCTGTCCCTTCTGGCTTGCAGAGTTTCTGCTGAAAGATCAGCTGTTAATCTTATGGGGATTCCCTTGTGTGTTATTT